ATACACAAGACGCGGAGAAATTCATCGATGCTCTATAAATTTATTAGATATATTATTTTAATTAAATTTACAGGTGTAACTTTTTTTTTATAACGTTGAAAGCTCAATAAAATATAAAGTTAATCTCTTATCTTATTCCGACAGGGTGCAAACTGTATCCTGTGATGTATCCTTTCCGTATATGATTGTGTTTATTTGATAACATTAATAGTTATCTAATAAATAATGTATCTTGAGATATTTGTGTGTGAGAAAGAAGTTCTTTAAATAATATCCAGAGAGATAGACGTCTTATTGAAGAGTTCCAAGTGTCTTCTACTGAGAAAAATAAGTTGTTAACTTGACTAAATTCGTCCAACTAATTACTATTTCTTTGTATTTCTTTAATTAAAATATTAAAATATTTAAGTTAAATATACGTATATATGTTAGATTTAATATGTCGTATTTGACTTAAATATTTCAATTAAAAAAATACAAAGAAATAGTAATTAGTTGGACGAATTTAGTCAAATTAACAAGTTTTTTTTTCTCAGTGTAGTATAATTCTATTTTTTAGAAGATAAATAAAAAAACATTAATTTAGAGATAACTCTATAAATTGTTTTCGGATTTAAATAAATTTAGTCTACAAATTCTTCTTAATCATCAGAAAAAAGTATATGTTATTTTACGCTAGTATTTACGTGTTATAGGAAATTCCTGAAGTGACTAAAGACGTAAAAACCGCAAAAAAAAGCGCTTCTTAATTTTATTCGGCGCCGCACTGAAATTCCTGCGCGCGATACACAGACATAGTCGAAGAAAGTTTACGGTTCTCATCTCGCACGACATAGAGTGAAATGGATGAGGTAAAAGGTGAGGATTCGTTAATGCTTTAAAAAAAAAAAAAAAAATACGCTTATTAAATATATTATTTTATTCGTTTACTTTTTACACCGGCGATCTTTCGCGAACTCGCCGCCGCGACAGAGGTATGCAGAAAGCGCAAAAAAGCGTTTCTTAATTTTATTCGGCGCCACGTCGACATTCCTGCGCGGGCCATCCCATCGCTGAAACGATCATTTTTTGGAGCAGAAAAAAGAATGACCCCCCGCTCGAGTCATTTTAATCTGTCGCTTGAAATATATTAATAGTACAATTTTTACGAAACAAATTATGCGTAATAGGCGAGTTCGAGGAAAAAATGAAGAGACTCGCGTACTCCGAACATTTGTCAAAATGATTCGCGAAGAAATACTGCAGCTGATTCTTTTGAAGCGTTCAAGATTGCTTCAAGATTTTATAGCGATCGATCGCGTTAAGTAATCCGATTTGGTTCCAAGATAGACCGCGACCGCTTCTGAAAGGAATCATCTGCAAAGGACTCGATCTGGATTGTCCGGTTTTTCCTACCTCATCGTCCTTATAGCTCCTGGAGCTCACACACGCAACCGGAGAACCGAGGGTAAACTTTTCTTTTATCTCGTGTTTGACATCGTGAAGCTGTAAAGATCGTTTTTACGATCATTTCACAAGTGTCGAATAATTTTACGTCATCGCGGGAATTTTCGATAAACATAATAAAAAAATATGAGCACTTATGTTGTTAACGACTCGCACAGTGTGTTACTTCAGAAAGATAAACGATCGAAATTTTATTATATTCTCTTTAATTCTCGGCTTCCACCGACTACAAACTAAGTTGAAACATGCGTTAAAAACAAATCTGAAAAAAGAGAAAATTTTTTGACGGCTAGAAAAATTAGCATGAATATTA